CTCCAAAATGCTCATGTTACGGATGTTTGCTGTGGAAGAAGAAGAAGAACCTGATATTTCTCCAGTGCATTAGTAATAGAAACAACATCGGCTTTGCATAGGTGACACATGCCAGCGCTGAGAAGATGCCCCTTAACTCCATACTTAAGCAAGTTATTGCTGAGTGAGTGGCGTGCTATTTCTTCATAAATCTTGATTGCCTTCTCATATCTATCAAATATACAACGAGCCCAATATCCATCAAATCCGTCCCTAAGTTTACAAAAAGCTATCATAGCTTCTTGTGCATAGCGAACATCATGATTCCAAACAATCTCGACTTAATGGGTTGCCATAAGAATTTAACAGAGTTCCAGTTGAGTAATGTAAGCACTTTAATACCAAAAGACAAGAAAGAAAAAAGGCCAGGTGCAGAAAATCTTACTGCTCCAACTGGGCAGCGAATTGTGCCACCTTTAGATTGCACTGGTTTGCAGAAGTGGTCACTTCTTCATTTTGGAAGAATTCAGCTGCTTTTTCATAGTAATCAATAGCCTGGTCGAGCTTCTGATCAGTTTCATAATACTCAGCAATTTCCTGTCAAAAGTAAAAAACCATAAACGTACGTGTTAGTACAAAATACAGAAAACCTGCACCAATCTTACTATAGTGTAAAGAGCACATATACCACTCGATCCAACATGCAAAGGAAACAAGAGCAAAGCCTAGCTTCTCAGTATCCATACTAAAGAGCGTAAAATCTAATTCATGCTCAAAAGAGACATATAGTACCTTGTAATATCTGGCAGCCATGTTGAGCCTCCCTATCTCGCAGAATATATTCACTGCTCGCTCTAGGCAAGATGCAGCCTCTGCATATAAGATTATGGTTTATCAGGACACATGCATAGAGAAAGTGAAACAAGCAAGAGTTGATTACAAAAAGAGTAGCTTTTGCGTATATATGATACAAACAAAAATTCTAGTGGGTCTATCTATATATACCATTTGTGTTTACTTTCTTGTAGCATTTCGCAGCTTCGGCATAGGCGTTAGCAGCATCGTGTTTGCTGTCCGACTGCAAAATGCAGAACAATGTTATCATTTATACACATCAATACATTCCCCTAGTATCATGTTTATAGCCAAAAGAATTTACCTTCAAGTGACATTCGGCAAGTTTTAGATAAACTTTTCCTGCTTGATCCCCTGAACAATCACATATTGAACACATAAGCAAGAGATACTGTTGAAGAATCGAACAACAGTCAGGAAAAACATGAACCTATTAAACTCAACCAAGTAGAACCCAATTGGGTACTGTCATCCTGCAATTTCTACACTAATTTCCCAATTTATCAATGACTAAATTATAACTCCAAAACCCATTATATCGAGCAATCTGAATGTTGAATCTCCATTAAACTTAGCAGATATTTTGCATGACTAACAATTCTATTTTCCAATCAGTCAGGAACACCATACAGATCAAATCGGCTTAAACACACCATACAGATCAAATCGGCCTAAACCCAAATCACTAATCACATGAGCATGGACGGATCACAGAAATTTGATAATCTAAGAACAAAAAAGTCTCCATTTTTCCTCATAATCATAGCTATTTTCTCAAACCGCGTTAAAATCCACGACCAAATCAGATGAAACGTAGATCAATCACATAAAGGGTCGGCTTAAAAAGAGATGAAATTACATGATTTGGCAAGTTTATAGGAATTAGCTGCTTTTTCGAGGAGATCGGCTGCATCTTCATACTTAGATCCGAATAAACCCCATCCATTGAGCTTCTTCTCTGCTTTCTTCTCGAATTCCTCCGCTCTCACCAGATGATCTCCCATCTTTTTTTCCCCCAAACTCTGACTTGAAATTCACCTTCCTAGCTCTCCGATTGTTCTCCGATTGTTTCTTTTTTTCTTCCTTTGAGAGAGATTTTGCTTCGACGGATTTTCGCAGCGATGAGAATCGATCGGGAGCGAAAAATCAGTAGGGGAAATATTTTTCAACCGATTTGAGTGGGCCGAATATAGTCGTTCAAAGTATGGGCTTCATATTTTTAAAAGCCCAATTATAATTTTTTCCTTTTTATTACTTACGGAATCAAAAAGAAAACACTACTGCGTAAATAACTAAATACTGACATGAAAGTTTCCGACTACCTAAACATGGGAAAGTTTCTATTTTGGTTTTCCATAATTCGTGAGGCATTTAGTTTGAGTGTAAAAAGATTTGCAATTTAAGATGATACAGAAATGGGTAATCTTCAATGACGTCTTTCAATTTTTACGATATAGATGAAATTATGATCAGAGACTGCTTTGATACCATAAAAAATTAGAGTTTTTTTTGCACGTTTTTATGCTTGTTTTTACAAGCTTAATTTATGATACAATCATACAAGGGAACTTTGATTATTGCACTACAATGGGCAAAAGAGTAAAAGTATATAAGGTAGAATTACGAAATGACAATCATGATAAATCCTGCAAAAGAAAAAATAAATTTGTGAATTGTGAGGTGAATAAAAAAGAACTTTGATGTACCTCTTTACTTGTCTTCATCGTCCATATAGTTATAAACTTAAAGACCAATTGATAAATATGGTTAAATATACAGAGCCGTGCCTACTCATATAATTTTGAAACATTGGTTTGGGGCATCATATAATAATTAAGGGCATATTGACAAGTTTTTTTTATTTTACATGGTGTATATGTTTGTGTTTTCCTTTATAAATGTTTACCAAACACCCAAAGTTAAAAGTTAAAATTATTTCTTCTACAAACGTTTGATTATTGTTTCTTTATATTTATCTTCACAATTGTTTAGATGTCTTATTTTTCACTAACTTATTATGTGTTAGTCAATTTTTATGCCATTATTTTTGTTTATACTTCACAACTTTAATTGTATACAACTTTTCTC